CTGCAAGCTCCGTTCCTTATGTCACTCTTCAGTGAACGTGTTGCTAAAAAATGGCCAACATCTTTAGGACGAAATCTGAGCTAGACCGTTACTTGGAAGATGAGCTAGTTTCATTGTCCAAAGATAAGTTCAATGTGTTAGATTGGTGGAAAGTTGGTGGAACACGCTATCCAACTTTGAGGCTGCTAGCATGTGATATTTTTGCAACTCCGGTCAGCACGGTTGCCTCAGAATCAACATTTAACACAGGTGGTAGAGTTCTAGTTCTAAGCGGTAGAATGTCAGTCCTTATGTTTGCTTAAATATGCCGATTTCCCCATGGGTTTAGAAAACCCGATGGGTTTAGGGGACGGGAAGAAAGCTAGCCCCTCGTATGGTGACAGGGACGGGGACGGGCTTCCGAATTTTTCGTGGGGATGGGTTTGGGAAGGAGACGGGGACGGGCTTCCGAATTTTTCGGTGGGTTTTGTCCCCGTTGCCATCTTGAACCACGAGCAGCACACGAGGCCGGCGCCCATGAGGACGTCAATGGCGTCGATCCAGGCGAAGACGAAGCAGAGAGCGTCATGGGGCAGCAACGACCAGTCCCTGGCCCGTTGCGCCGCATCGCCCATCAATGATAGATTGATAGATCTCATGGGGCTGGGGTCTGGGGACGTCGGAATCTGAAGACAATCGTAGCATCCGGTGAATTCACGGGTTTTTTAGACAAATTCAGAGGGGTGTCGTTTGTAGCTAGCAGTGTTCTCGCATATGGGCCCGGCCCGACATTGCAACGAAGGGTGCACAAATCGAGTTTCCTTTATCTAAAAAAACACATTTTTTTTCTTTTTTCACTTTTGTTTCGTCTTCTTTCACTACTCTATTCGGTAGATCTCGATTCTATTGAGTATAAAATATAAATAATGGCAAATAATTTATTGAAATTACATGATTTAAAAAAAGGTTAATACTTTCTGAAAATACACAAACATTTTATAATACATGATGAACGACTTTTTAATACTAAAAAAACATTTTTTTATATTACATGATGCTGCATGATAAACGATTTTTCAGTATGTGAAGAACAATTTCGTAAAATACAGTGAATATGTTTACTACTTGAGGAATATATTTTAAATAAATGATGAAAATTTAAAAATGTATGGTGAACATTTTTTTTCAACACAGTGAATATTTTATAATACATGATGAACATTTTAAAAAAATAAGGTGAATATTTATGAATCATTTCTTTAAATTACACGATATAAAAAAGAGTTAACATTTTATAAAAAGATAAAACATTTTACAATACATGATGTGCGACTTTTCAGTACTAAAAACATTTTTTGTCTTACACGATAAACATATCTTAACAGCATGATGAACGGTTTCTCAGCATGCGATGAACATTTTGGTAAAACATAGTGAATATATTTACTACTTGATGAATATCTTGTAAATACATGATGAACATTTAACAAATATGTGGCAATTTATAATACTCAATGAACATTTTAAAAAATAAGGTGAATATTTATAAATACATAATGGAGAATTTTAAAAAATATAGTGAATATTTCTGGAATACACGATGAACATTTTGGTAATAACACGATGAACATTGTTTTACTACACGATGAATATCCTAAAGATAGACGATGAGATTGTCTTAAATATATGGCAAACATTTGTTTAAACTTGGTAAATATTTTGTAATACATGATGAACTTTTGAGAAAACAATAATATTTTTAAATGCACAATGAAAATTTAAAAATATTATAGATATTTCTGGAATACACGATGAAATGTTTTCGGACATAATGAACTATTTTCATGTATATCAAAAAAATTAAAGAATACATGAACAACACTATAAAAAATACACGGTGAACATTTTAGCAATACCCTGATGAATATTTTTTAACTATACAAAAAGAAGATAAATACGTGATGAACGTTTTCTAATACTTGATGAAGTATTTGAAAAAGTCTACTGTGCCCGGAAACAAAAAAATGAATATGAATATGTGAAGAAAATAGAAAAGGGGAAATAAGTGTAAAAAAGGAAAGAAAAGAGAAACAGGAAAAAAGAGAGACAAAAAAAGAGGAAACAGAAAACAGATATAGAAGTGAAGAAAAAAAATCGTTCCTGGTCTAGCACGCTAAATTGAGCACTATAGGCCACACTTCGATAGTGCGGGAGTATGCAAGATTGCACCGTGAATTTAGAGACCATGCGAGGTAGGGATGTGAACCATCGGCCTTTTGATTGTTGTGATGAAGACCATGTGCCTGATGACTCAGGGCACCTTGTCATGTTCTGTGCCAAATCGCATGCCAACCTCAAGAATTATGTCAGTTGCTCAAAATGTACCCCTAAAAAATGATTGCTCGAAAAGAAAAGGAAAGGAAAACCACAGAGAGAGTTGAGAAGTGAAAACCAGACACTGGTTTGTGTGTCAAAGCTAACGAGATTGACGCTTGGGGACGTGTTTGGTTCATTGTTTTCAGCCCTTTATCTGAGAGTGGCCGTCGGAGGATGACTAAGGACCATGTGCTATCTCATAATACTCTTTTTCAATCATGGTTAGTGCTTGTTCCGCATATGTCCTGATGAGTACAAAAGTCACGATAAAAAAATGATGAGTCCAAAATTTGCGTTATTTTTACCCTTTGTCATTGCACCTTAGTTGTAGAGTTTGTCGAATTTATTGTTTTTTGTGCACCTCTTTTGTCTACTTTTGCCACGGTTCCACCTACGGATGTATGTTTTAGCATAAGGAAAGATTCCAAGGATATGGCGTTAAAATCACGTTAATTGGCGTGATAAAACATCACCATAAAAGAAAGAAAGAAAAAAGATATACGAATGTTAATTGCTAAGGTAAATGGCCTAATTGATCTTTTTTTAACACAGTACAAATGCAGATGCTCACATACACTCAATCTATGAACAGTGAGCACTTCCAAAATACCAAGTCGGCACATCATCTTCAGATTGATGAAGTCGCCATAGATGCCTTCATAGTCGACGGCAACGTCTCCTCTCACTGAACGCACATCGCTGAATGGCCTGAAATAAATCCAGAAAAATGCGACCACCATTGCCAAGTATAGGACTTCAACTCCGCTGGGTTGGTTCCACCATAAGGAACTTAACCATCTAAGCAACGCTCAGTTGGTAAATGGCCTAATTGATCTAGTTAATCAATAATGAACAAGTTTAATGTTAATAGTTTTTGGTCAACGCTAGTGATCTTGGTAATTAAAGGTAGATGCATGCTCATGCTTAAGCCTATATTATCTCATGTTCAAGTGCAAATTATCCCTTATTAGTTATACTATATAATGGCATATGGACTAATCCCTAATGATCATAGTCAATTTTTTTATATAACTATTTTTATATTTCATAAAACTAGTGACCTTGGTTAGGATCAATTATAAAAAATACACTCAATTTAGCAATAAGGATATGAATTGCATAATCTGGAGAGCCTAATTTTTTCACTAATTCCCCGGACCCGGAATCCTAGGCTGATGAAAATCCTAATGAGGCCAAGTTCGGTGGGAGAGGTTTTGTTCATGCTTTAATAGGTTAGGACCATCTGATTTTATCAAACATAATTCTCGATAAAAAAAGATTTTATCGGACCTTTGGAAGGTCACGAGCGACTCATTACTCATAGGCCTTAAGTTATTATTGGGATGAATCTTCGCACAGTCTTGAGCATGGGTTCTATTGGGCCGATGAACGTTTTTTGGCGCAGTGATGATCTGTTTGCAGGGCCGCTATGGTCTGATGCTGAAATGATTTTTTTTCTTTATTATTTTCTTACATATTTTAAGCATTTTGTTAATGATTTATGCAATGTTTAAATAAAAAAAGATCCCAAAGACTAGTGAAAATATGTTAATGTCGATGAAGTATTTCATGGGCAGATTTATGTTTAAAGTTTTTTATTTTGGTGCCTTCATAATAATGAAGTTGCCTGAATTATGCTAAACACATGTTTAATTTTTTCAAATAAAATCAAGCCCATAGGAAATTTTATTTGATCTTTTAATGTTGGCATACTTATGGATTTTTTAATGATGATTTCATTTTTGGTATCAGCACTAATCCTTACATGTGCATGTGCTCCCCATACCCTTCGGTAGTTCACCCTTGTCCGTGCCCTTCCCCCCTTCTTCCTAGTGTCCGCGATATGAATGCCAACAAGAATCAAGGATAGATGGATACATGAACATTGAGAATGGACATTGATATTTCTCCCTAGTAGACATTCATGTGCCCTGCCATGTCACTAGGAGTCTGAGAAAATCTTCATTTCGGAGCACATGATTGGTGTGAATCTTCTTTCTTTTGTAATGACTATCTACTGGTAGATATGTACTTCATACTTATTGCACGTGTCGAGGCTGGGATATTGTGATACGTCAGAGAATTGATGCGGCTCTCATAACCAAACCCAAGTCATTTTTTTTTTGTGCTCAACAAACATATGACAACCCTTAAGATATAACGTTAGAGGCAAAGATAAAATGCACTGGGAAGGGAAAAAGGATAGAAACCAAAATTCATGGGCAATTAAGCGGGACGTACATTCACAAAGCTAGGTCACAAACATAAGGATGCAATCTGATGTAAGGTACCGATCATAAGGACCTATCAGTCCTCTCATCTTCAAAAATTAGAAACGTAGTGTGACTCATCGTCGCACTCAAACGCTGTGTTCGTTCTTTTGGTGGCACCGGGGTGAGTCTGCTGAACCCTTGGCGCGCCACCTGAGCGGGAGCTGGGCAGTGCCAGGTAGGACACGCCCCTTCCAACGTCTTATGTGTACTAATTAGCACATGTGATGTTACTATCAAGCAAGTGATATTTGAAAGAGAGCACAACAGCAGAAATAAACAGACATCGATAAAAGTCGCAATACAGATATAAAAAGGTGCAATTAAAGCTGATGAGTGATGATCTTAGAGGTTACATGCCCGACAACATATATGCTATCTATTCAAAGGCACCATGTTGCAACATCCAAAAGAAGAAGCAAGATTCAGTACGTCATAAGCTCCGTACATGGATGGATCATATTCATACGCGACTTCTGTCATTGTCGATAATGCGTCTAGAGGCGATGCACGGTGAGAGCAAGGCGGCATTTTCGGTGACCTTGAAGTGGAAGGTGCAGATGTCTCCTTCGCGGATGTGTGCACGGTGGCAGAACTCTGACACGTTGGTGGTGATGGTGGCCCTCTTGTCAGTTCACAGCATGATGCGACAATCATCATGCACATTGCCGTCAGCAAGCCTGATCTTCGGTGTATCATCATCCAGGTTAATGTAGTCCATCGGATTCTCTTTGGTGTAGTGGACCTGAAAATACTGGCAGGAGAAAGGAAGGAATTGAGAGGGATGTACAGTGTCATGCAATATGCAAGAAAGAATGTGTTTTGAAGTTACGATTCACTGGCCTGGCTTGGCAAATGTCTTGTATGATGGTGCATACATAGTACTTGATGTTTGGTTTTTTGCGCCAGAACATGACAAATAGGGCGTCTACATGGTGCTCATAGAGCTTAACCTCATTGCCCCAATAACAATGTTCCTCAAGCTCATCAGGTGTTACTGCATTGCGCTCAATATCGGTGAGAACCAAATGAAGTGGGTTATGGAACAGCCTCAAATATCATTGATTGTTTGAAGACGAAGCTTTATATAAGAGAAAAGTGTACCCAAGCTCCAAAGCTATCCTATAAGAAAGACATGAAGGTAAGTACCTAAGTTAAGGATCATTCTTCGGAAGCAGTGCACTTCAAGTACAAAAGCATAGCAGATTGTAAAATTGTACCATCGCTCCTTGTAACTCCTAAAGTTGAGAACACACACATATATGATGAATAAGACACATGCTCATTGCAAATTAAACATGATTGGTTTCTTGGAGCTAAAGCTTCAACTTAGAGAAAAGTGGGCCCAAGAATAGATGAAGCTAAACAACTAAGTAAATTATTACTGTTCGGACAAAATCATAAGAAAACAAAATTGTACAGCAACTCCTTTTAAGCTCTAAACTTGAGAACTCACAAATGGTTCAAGAAAAGTTTCATAGCAGTAGTGACACTGGAAATGATGATAGAGAGCCATGGTGAGAGGAATCAGTAAAGTCAGGAAACAAATACCAGGCAAGCACAGTACCTAAAACTGCAGAGCAAGAATTAGACTAATATGATGTTATATTGTGTATCATGATGTTATAACTTGTTTGTATTTACATATATAATATGCTGGTTTTCAGCAGTGTGGAGAAGAAGAGAACAAAATAGCAGGCGATGCAGCTGCGTTTCATACATAACCAACATGGCGCATGCTTACCGCGTATGTACTCTGGATGGTCGTCTTCATCACACTACGGAAAACGTGTTTCGAGAATTGTTAGCGTGAGAAATAAGAATAATATTTGTTTGAAATAGAAATTGTGTATATGAATTCAAATAGAATCGAACATAGTATTGAGGCGCAAGCGGGCAAGCAGCAGTGATAAAAGTTTAACAAAGTCCATTGCCTCACAAATTGTGCAGACAGATAATGAGGTATTTTGTGAAGACAGATAATGATGTATACTTCCTGCACTGAGTGAATTTAGTTCACAGTGCACTGTTTTACAAAATGCAAAATGCCAGATAGGTATGCTGTGAGTTTATATCATTGTGATTCAACAATGATGCATGAAAAATTGTGGGTAAGCACATTCTTCGTGTCAATGCGGCAGGCTCTTCCTTGCATATATTTTACATTTTTAAACCTAACAAATTGATGGTTGTATTGTTGTGAAGAGACTGGTTAGCTAGAACCAACATATTTCGAAGAGATGTAGGGCATAAATTAAGAATCTACTACATAACCTATAGTAGCTTGTAAGAGAGCCATTTGTGAGCTACTATGGAAGCAGTATATTCAGATCTAGAGCATTTGGAAAAGGGTGGACAGACAGGAGAAAAGTGAGAGTCGATTTTCTGATGGAATCGATTGGGTGGTACCTGGTTGGATGCCGAGTGGTTGACCGCTGGCGGCGCACACAAAGCCGATGCGTGTCGACGGCGAGCTTCACACCCCTTTCATTCTCCTGCTTCCAGTATGTGTAGGGCAGCTGCATACAAACACCGGCTCTTCAATTTACTATAGCAAAGTGTGATTATCTATTACAAGTAGGGGGGCATCTATTCGGAGCACAACTACAAACAACTGGAGCATAGTATCTATAACACAAAATTGATCATGTTAGACAGGTCGAACAGCTTGATCAGCAAGGAGGTGGGCATTGTTATACGCTGATGATTTCTTCTTTCTAGTTCTATTCTATCCCAAGATGCTTTACGCCCTTGCCTACAGTTGACAAAAGGAAAATTAAATTCATAATTTCAGTAAGTATTTGTTGGCAGATTAAGAAGCAGGTGAGTGCAACATAGCAGCAACATAATAGACACGTATCGCCGAAAGAAATGAGAAGTGGAATTATGTTGTAGGAGTGAAAGTGATATTTGAGATACTCTAAAATTGATGAAAGCCCGGGACTGAGCAAACCCGTAGTAAAGAAGTTTCTCTTATAACACAATAATGAATAAAGCTTTGCCTTTGTCTAATAGAATAAACAGAAAAGTGATAAAGATGATATGACGGTAACAACCTAATAAAAATGCTTGAGAAAACATGCATTAAGAAGGTTCTTTATTGGGCAATTCTTCAACAATTCTGTTGGCAACCATTCAACACAATTCCATAGACAACAGATATAATTTTCTACAGAAATCTTATGTCAACTGTTTACTACAATGCTATGTTAACAAGTTCAGGATAGTACTGTTATCCACAAGAAGGTTATTCGTTTGAAGAATAAGAAATATCAATGTCAAACATCACTTTTGTTGTTAAAAACATCATTCGTTCATCATATAACATTATTTTTTGTTGATAAATCCTGTACAACAAATTATTTACAAGAAGTCAACTTCTCATTTCTAAAAGGTTAAAAAGGGATCTATTTGGTAACAACAAATACACAACGGATCAATCCTTAGCTACCAAGAAAATCATCCATTCTTGGGAATATACGCCATCACGCCCCTACAAGCCTATGATATTTTCTAGCATCGCCTGACACGGACCGGATCGATTTGCTGACTCGAGGACGATTGCCGGAGAGGGGAAACAGCATATCCGCATATGTAAGTCACCCCCAACACACAACGGGGAGCTTGTCACCAAATTTGCATCATCCATTATCCATTTTCAGAAACAACAAAGCCAACGGTCAAATTCCTATGGGCAGATATCAGGCCATAAGAAGCCTTGAGATGATCGAGTCCAAACAAATTGAAGTTATCACTAATTCACTCACAAAAGTAAATTACATGCAGAAAAGAATACATAGTCCACTCAGTTCTATTCATTTAGTATATACAAGTTTTAAGGAGGCCAACACTCATGGTGGGGGCAGAAGAAGAAATTAAAATATACCTTTGATGTAGTTGTCATTATCCAATGTGAATCCGTGATACATTCCTGCAGGCAAAACAATCATGCCCCCTTCCTTCACTGCTATACAGATCCACTCTTCATTTTGGTCCCTCGCATCAAAGTATCCTTGACAACATTAAAAAAAACAATTTGGTAAAGCATGTTACCGTGATTATCACTGGAAATATAACGGTTTATGGCTTTCTCATTTAGAATGCCAAAAAAGGATAAAGAAGGCACCTACCAGTCTACCACTGCCCTCAAGAAAATAGCGTATCTCTTCGTCAGTATGCAAGTGCTCTTCAAAGAAATTTTTCAGCTTGGCCTTGTAGTTTGGCAACTTCTTGGGATATACGTCGCGGATGTCCTGCTAGAGGAAAAACAAAACAGGTCTGTCACGCTTGATTGCTTCTACTACTTGCAAATGTTTTATGCTTTGACAATCAAAATGGAAGCGCAGTAAGCATTTAGGTTCCAGCTTACAACACCTAATTACGGGCATTTAGTATATGGGACGTCCTTCAAAATTTCAGTCAACTTTTCATATGAACCCGACAAAATCTAATAAAGCTCTTCAATTGGAGATGGGAAAAAAATAATGGAAGAGGTGAAGGTGGGAGCCCTTTGCCGCTGCTTACCTCGCTGCTGCTGCTGCCAAGCTCAGGGGAGAGGGGCGCCACTTCTTCCCATCTACTCCCTCCGTTCGGAATTACTTGTCACGGAAATGGATGAATCTAGACGTATTTTAGTTCTAGATACATCCATTTCCGAGACAAGTAATTCCGAACGGAGGGAGTACCTTGCCTGATCCCGGTCGCAGAGGCACGACACCGTCGACCCAACGCCAGTGGCTTGATCGTAGCCGCTTCCCCTCCTCATCACTTGTCCTACAAGTTATACGTGAATCTACAAACATGATATTCGATGAATTACTCATGGGGTAAAATTTCTTTCTTCTTTACATATTCTTCCAACAATAAAAGAATTTGCACATAGAAAAAAAGTGTCTTCCTTTAGTTGAGCTTTTCAGTCCGGCACAAAATAAGCAACAGGTCCCCAATTAAAAATGGATTATTCTTTGTCCCCAAAACAAAATCCGAATGCACCTACAAACTAAGCTAGGAAAAAAACAAAATGAAGAATCCATAACATGAAGAGCCGGTTGTCGATTTGCACCTCTGATCGTCGACTTCTACTTATTACTTAATTTGTTGTTGTACCTGCACACGAACCACCCAATCTATAAACTTCAAGATTGAGGTATCAGGATTTTGTTTCTTTTGGAATTGGCATGTCAAGCAGGAGTGACATGAAAAACTAATAAACATGTTAACTGAAGTATCAAGAATGCAGGGTAAGCTAAGGATAAGAAAATAGGAAACACTATTAACCAAGTGTATAGTTATCACGTGATGGAACATATGCTGAAGCATGAGTCCCAGGGCTAAAAGCAGATGTTTTATCAAGCATCACTACACACCGGACATTATGATCTGTCCAAATACATACTTATGTGAGAAATTTTTTGAAGTAAGCAACCATGGAACATTTACAAACCATCTTTCGACTTTAATTGCAGTTGAGGAAATGTTGTAGTATGATTGCTCGAGTTTATCTGGAGGATTCAGAGTCAAACAAGGAGCTTATCAGACCATATTCAACTATAAGTATTTCTTGGCTGAGTCAACTATAAGTATTTCTTAGCTCAAAAAGTGGTATATGGCAAACTTGAAAACTCTGAAGTAAAACAATGGCATGACAGGCTTACTCAAAGACATTGAAAACAAACATCTAAATCAGCATACAAGGAAACAAACCCTTATTATAATCAACATAGGTAGCCTACATTTCAGGTCTTTTGACATAACACCTACAAATACATGTTCTGATACAAAAACTCCCTGTCAGTCTTCTTGGAATTTCTTCGAACACCTTGTAGGCATAGTGAAACAACATCTGCAGAAACAAATACACAAAGATGAGAAGCTCTAGGAATACGGCACTGGAAGAGAAGTGGGAAAATTTCAGAAAGAAGAGAATAACTTGTGTACTTGCATCGTGTTCTCCTATTCGCCTCTCTTCTTCGTCGGGCAGAAGAACTGCGATATGAGAGCAGGATGGAGCCGGGCGTCTCTGCAGCCCGCGCTGCTTCTGTAGAGGAAGACGGATGGTCTCGGTGCCATGGACCACCGTCGCGTCTCGAGCTCCACATGCCGAGTATGAAGCTCCTCCTTGGGCCGCTGCTACAAGCATGGGGATGGAGCCATGGAGGCAGAGCT